AACCCCCCCCCCCCCCCCCTCTCTCTGATCAAGCAGAGAGACATCTGACATGAATATACATGTCTCCGGATCCGACAGTCCTCTCAATATGTGAGATGTAATATAACCAAAAACTCGCCAGTATTGCTAACGAAACCAGATACAAGCTTTCACGCACAACAAAATAGGCTAAAACAGAAGCATTGTTGTTGTTCAGCATCTTCTTGTTAGAGAAAAGAGCCAAAAAACAAAACTGCCAACAGTAAGGTGCAACTTTAGTGAGGGTGGCAATACCTGGTATACCCCCCCCCCCAAAAAAAAAAAAAATAAAATAAAAACCCCAACCCAACCATCAGTAAAAATAAAAACAAAAGGGGCCACACCCAATCCCCAGACCAAAGAAAAGGGGAAAAAGAGAAGTAAGCTTTCCCCAACACTACCTTTCAACTTTCAGGAGAGCACAATTCAAGATAAAGAAGAGTATCAAATTAGTACCTCGTCAGGGTTCTAGGAATATCATCCAAGTTATCAATGCCGTCTTGTGTGGTGCCATCTGTTATTGAACGACTGAAATTTATTGATGTTAAAGGGCCTGCTATCTCCTTCAGACCCTGAAAAAATGTCAAGCAACATCAGATCAAATGAAGATGCACGTGTGGTATCCTTTTTCTATTTCTTTCGGTGACGTGATCTGCTATTGACTTCTCAACATCATTAGCCCACATAACGCCGAGCCAAAAAATCATATCAGAGAGGATTTAGAATAAATTGTATATCACGGAAAATCAGTGATGCAGTTACCAGCAGATTCTTTTCTTATTTTTTCCCCCTTTTTCTTTTGTACCTCGGCATTCATTTTTTGCTTTAACAACTAATCATCCCACACTCCATGGAGATGAAATTATTAACAAAAACCAACATAAAACAATATGACAGGTTTCACAGATTAATAATGAAAACATCACTAGCAGAAATCAGTATAAGGCCTCCACCAATTCAAAATTTGGGAAATGTCATGAATCTAGAACAAACTTTCTCAAAATGATGCTTGGAACAAATTATTAATCAGACAAAAATGAAAATCTTTCCAAAGATATCTATTGATTTGGGAATATAGCACAGTCCAATAACCACATGAGAATAGTCATACCTTGAAATAGTAAATTTGCAAAGGGAAATGAACCAGAAAATAAATGAAAGGGAACCTCTTATCTGATGAGTAAATCAACTTCTGTATGATGAGGGTGGAGCTGGAATTTAATCTGGGTGGGCAATTAAACTACAATCTTTAATTTTTTTTTTCTCCCAATCAATAAAAGTAAGATATGCAGGTATACTTATTACATCATATATTTCTTACATAATGGTTCACTAATCACAGAAGGGCCAAAAACTAATATATACTGTGTACACAAAAACAAATTACAACTCGCAAAACAGAGTCTAGTTTTAGTCGATTTACAATTGACCCCACGAGTATTCATATTATCAGGGCTTGCATCATGCATTCATTATTAATGCCATTGAAAATATCTTTCTCTATATATGAAATCCAGTAACCAATCAGTCATTGATGGCTCATTATATTACGCAATCAATTCTTCACCGTCTTCAACTTTAAAATTTATTGGATAACCTATTTCACCAACTTTATTATTAAGATATCACAATAGCTAAGAAACACGGACACGGACACGGACACAGACACAGACACAGACACAGACACGAATACGACACGACACGACACGACACGGACACGCCGATACAACAGTTCTCAAAAAAGTAGGATACGGACACGGACACGCTACAAAAAAATTATATTTTATATATAACATTATATAATTTATTGTAAATATAGTGATAATGATATACAATTCATAAAAAAATAGTATTTTATAATCAGAAAACCTAATATCTAGTCATTTGTGTGAATTTTTAGACTAAAACATCCTCATTATAGTCAATAATCATCAATTTTTTTTATAGACAATGTGTACCTAATATATAATTTAAATAATTGCTCCCATTTTCTCAATTCCTCTTCTTTAAAACTTTTATGCATCTTTTGTTTTTATTATTATATTTAAAGTACAACTTTAATATGTCTAGCATTAGTATTTAAATGTTCTCAAATTTTTAAGTTTTGTTAATCATATTTCAACAAATGTCTATTGTTTAGTTGTAGACACATTCTAAAGAAGTGTCGGACATGTCACCAAAGACAAGTCCAATACGTGTCCGAAATTAAAATTTTATCATTTAATTATGGACACGGATAAAAAATTATCGGGCACATGTCCAAGAGTATCCATGTCCGACACGTGACCAACACGGATATGTCACGTTCTCGAGAGTGTTCATGCTTCATAGCACAATAGCATAGGCCACTAAATATCCAAGAAGTAAGCATAGCAATACCATTGAAACACAACAAATACAATCATTAGTAGTCGCATAAAAATAGAGTAAGGACAGCAGCAGAAAAAACGATGCCAATTACAAGCCAATAGCACATTCAAGTTAACAACATAGGATCAACAAAAGCCATAAACTGGCAAATCAAGACCAATTGCAAATAAAAAGCACTAAACATGCACTTAAGGGACAATTGCAGCTCATATTCTCCGAAAAACACAAAAAGGGTAGGCCCAATAATTATATTTGAGTAATCTTCAATGCATACAAGATTTTTTTTTTAAATCAAGAGTGTTGCAGGCTTGCTTGACCAATAGAGGCAGAGGATTTCTCAAAGCGGAATTCCTGCCTAAAGTGAAGTGGAGTTGCAACTTAGGTTCGGCTGATCTGACTTCTGGGTCTTGTACAGTCGTTATTGTCAGCATCAACAATAGTTCTGATTCAAGAGTTACCAGATAACGACTGTAAAATCCAGTGATGAAGTCAACACTGCGCTGGTGAATGGAACCTCCCCCCCCACCAAAAAAAAAAAAAAAACAAAACAAGCAAGAAAGAAGCGACTCTTCCCGCGAAAAAGTCACAATTGAATTTATTTATTATTATGGTAAATCAATGCATCAAGATGTCAATCTGAGATCTTATTTCGGTTCGATATGTCCACTTTCAAGACTCACCTATCGAGGGATCATTTGACCCTAAAACGTAAAGTAACAAGACCAGAACCCTGTGTGGACTATGAACCAACAAAAAAAAGAATGCCTTTGAACTCTTGTTCGAGTTCTTCCTTGATGACCAAGAGAAAAGAGGGAGGGAGGGAGGGAGGGGGGGGGG